TTGGATAGGTTTCGTACTCTGGTTCTGTACTGGGATAGCCATCGTAGCCCTACTGTAAAAACACTTCAGCACTTCGATATACCGACAGTCAACATGGCACCGCTGAAGGGACTGCAGCACCGCCCAAATTTCGATAGAATCAAAGCTTTTTCATAGTTCACATACACCAGAATTGTACTCCTCTGAATTCTGTACAATTTGCCGAATGGTATGTATGTGGTCTATGGTGCTAAAGTCTTTTCGGAAACCGGCTTGTTCGGGAGGCTGGAAGTCGTCAAGGCGGCGCGCGAGACGATTCGTAATGACTCTCGAAAACAGCACGTAGACGCGGCTCAGAAGGGAAATCGGTCTGTAGTTCTTCAAGAGAGGCGACAACGCGCCTTCGTCGTGGTCTTGAAAAATAAGACCACCGCACTTTTCCTCCACGCCTCCCGTGTAATGCCACCATGGAGGACGGAATTAAAGAACTTCTGAAGGACTTCAAGTACCGGTTTTCCTTCCGCTTTTAGAAGCTCCGCTGTAATTCCATCCTCGCCTGGGGCCTTGCCGTTTTTAAGGTGCTGGAGAGCTATTCTAATATCGCTCAGACTGACGTCCGGGATATCATCGGAATAATGTCGGATAAGACTCGCTCTTGGATCGTTACTCACACTTGCTTGTGGCTCCAACGATGACATGTACAGCTGCCCATAGAAGCTCTCAATCTCACTCAAAATCTCAGGTGTCCTGGAAACGATGCTGTCACATTCGGTCTTCAGCTTTGACATTTGGCTCTTTCTGGCACACAGATCTCTGGCAAAGACTTTGGAGCCTTGGTTCCGCTCGATCGCTTCTTCAATACGAGCTGTATTGAAGTTGCCTAAGTCCCGCCGCATGCCTTTGGAGATCTGTCTGTTCAATTACCTGTATGCTGTCAAATTTGTTGAAGAATGTAGCTTCATCTCCCGTCTAACTACCATCAGATTAAGGTCAGTTCTTCTGCGGCGGGTCTTGCAGAACTTAGCTCCGACCGCATGGACAGTTTCCACGAGCTTGTCATTCTTTTTATTTCTTTTATTTTATTTTCTTTTCTTTCATTTTTTATTTTATTCATTCATTGCAATATTAAGTATCATAAATAAAATATTTGAAAAAATATTAATAAAACAAATCGGTGTGTTTCTTGAAAAAAATTAAATTTTAACAGAATTTCAATTTGGGTTTAGATTAAATTAAAGTACAACGACGACCTTGACAGCATTTTCAGAAGATGTAAATAACTCTTTAAATAATAAAAATATCTTAGTAGCTCTATTTATAGACTTTGAAAAGGTGTTCGATACTTTGGACCATGAGTGCTTTTTGCAGGCCATGGATGAATGTGGAATAAGAGGTCCAGTGAAAATTTGGTTAAATAAAAAACTTGATAAAAATTATGAAATGTTATTTAAAATTTGCAAAATTCTTCCCATAGACAAGAAATTAAAATCCATCATCATATTAGAACAGTATGGTATGTTAACATTTAAGAAACCTAATACATATATAATGCCGAAGCGCCAAGTCACACAAAGGAGGAAATATCTCATACCTAGGGTTGAAAATTACTTTAGTCGACGTACATAGCAATGGATAACTCCGACTTTATGTAATGAGGTGGCGGGTATTTATGACGAAAGCGTAACTAAGTCGCAGCTCAAAACAATCTTGAGGAAATATCACCTGTCGTTGTGTGCTTAGTAGTGAATGTTTCATTTATTATATATGTGTTAATTTAAGTATTTATAAGTAACTTATATTGTTATTAATGAGTGTGAAGTGTTTTCGAGAGTCATTACGAATCGTCTTGCGCGCAGACTTGACGACTTCCAGCCTCCCGAACAAGTCGGTTTCCGAAAAGGTTTTAGCACCATAGACCACATACATAACCTTCGGCATATTGTACAGAAGTCCGAGGAGTACAATTTGCCACTATGTCTGGCGTATGTGGACTATGAGAAAGCCTTTGATTCCGTCGAAATTTGGGCGGTGCTGCAGTCCCTTCAGCGGTGCCAAATTGACTGACGGTATATCGAAGTGTTAAAGTGTTTTTACAGTAGGGCTACGATGGCTATCCAGGTATAGAACCAGAGTACGAAACCTATTCTATTGCAGAGAGGTGTAAGACAGGGTGACGTCATATCCCCGAAACTCTTCACCGCTGCATTGGAAGACGTTTTCAAGCTTCTGGACTGGAAAGGATACGGTATCAACATCATTGGCGAGTACATCACTCACCTTCGATTTGCCGACGATATAGTCCTTATGGCAGAGTCGCTGGAGGACCTAAGCACTATGCTCAATGACCTCAATAGTGCTTCCCAACGGATAGGTCTTAAGATGAACATGGACAAAACAAAGATCATGTTTAATGTCCATGTCACACCTATGCCGGTAGTTGTTGGGAGCACTAAGCTCGAAGTTGTTGACGAGTATGTTTACCTGGGACAAATAGTTCGACTAGGTAAGTCCAACTTCCACCGAGAGGTCCATCGACGGATTCAGCTCGGTTGGGCTGCGTTCGGGAAATTATGGCACATCTTCTCGTCAGGTATACCTCAAAACTTGAAACGAGACTGTACAACCAATGAGTGTTGCCAGTGATGACATACGGAACTGAGACGTGGTCCTTCACTGCTGGCTGGATGAGGAAGCTCAAGGTCGCTCAGCGAGCTATGGAGAGGGCTATGCTCGGAATTTCTCTGCGTGATATACTCAGAAATTAGGATATCCGCAGTAGAACCAGAGTGACCGACATAGCCCAACGGATTAGTAAGCTGAAGTGGCAATGGGCCGGCAATGGGAAATGGGGAAAAAAGGTTTTCGAGTGGCAGCCTCGTACCGGCAGGCGAAGTGCTGTGCGTCCCCCCACTAGATGGAGTGACGACCTGGTGAGTTGTGCAGGAAGTCAATGGATGCAGGTGGCTCAGGACCGTGCTTTGTGGTATTCCTTGGGGGAGGCTTATGTTCAGCAGTGGACTTGTGAAGGGCTGTAATGATGATGATATTTCAATTGGTCTGTAGTTAGTGTAGTCCCTATATGATCCATGTTTGTAAATTGGTCGGATAATTGCAGTTTTCAAACCATTAGGATAAATACCTTCGCAAATACAATTATTTATTAATGAAGCTAAAATGGAACTGATATACTCTTTTACTAATTTCAAGTCCCGTACCCGTATGCCGTCAATACCTGGTAACTTGTTGCAGTCCATGGAGTCAATAACTTTACATACATCCTTCCTCTTGACTTTCCTAAAACAAAAACTTACATTACAATCTTTAACATAACTAGTTCTATCAAAGAAATATTTATGACATGAATGGTTTAATTTTAAGTGTTCAATTTCTTGTGTAAAAGTTAAACAAAAGTTATAACAGATGTGTTCCATCGTTACCTTATCTCTTAAAAAGTATTTTTCTATGACGTGATCTGGAGTTGACATTGACCTACCCATCCAATTATTTAGGCAGCTCCACACTTTACGCGTGTCTCCATTACAATCCCTAATATTTTCCCGCTTTTGTGAATTTT